ATCTAAAGTGCCTTTTTAGCAGTGGTCAAAGGAGTGATTCCTCAGGGAGGAGTGAGCCCACACTTAGGGCACCTGCTTTGGGGACGCAGACTATTTTGGACTCCCAAGCAGCTTGGATCCAAGGCAGCCAAAGGCAAAGCAGTCTGACTTCAAGGCTCCAGAGTCTCAGGGCTGCTGCTCTTCTGTGTTTGTAACTTCATACAAGTCTTTCTGATCTTTAGTTTCTGATCATGGTGAATTGCTGGGGACTGGCAGTCTGCTGCAGATTTTTTTCTGACATTTCCTGATCTGTTTTCAATTATTTTTCCTTGCTATTGAGACACGGTTCATTTTTATGGCTTTTATGATGTCTCTTTTCACCAATGTGTGTAAACTACCTTAAAGGCCATTTTTGCTCCAGCCTTGAATCATTCTGGAGTCTCTGCTCTAACTCTTTTCCTAGTCTACAATGTTGTTTTCTGGGGTCTGTTTACCAGAACTGTATGTGCCATTTTGAATGTGGTCGCACCATCCATTCACAGTTTTGCTACTGGCAACTTTGGAAGCTGATTTGAGAGTTCTCACTTTTGTGAATAGTGCCTGAAGGTGAGGCTGCTAGACCCTGTGGATTTGGTCCTGCGTCAAGTTCTTAAGCTGCAAGGTTTTCATTTTGGGATTGAATGTGCTTCTCCTATCCCTGTTCCTACCTGGGGAGTGAGAATGAAGTGACATGGTTTTTCTGCTTCCTGAAATCAAAAGTAAGGTGCTTTGGCAGGAAGAGCCCCTGGGGTAAATCACACACATTTTCAATTAAAAAGGAAAGTATTCCTTTTGCTATTGACTCATTAAATGACAACTGTTTTGCTATTCATGCAACATCACTCACTGAACCATCTCAGTGAGCAAACATACTATAGCACATAACAACAGAAAAACCAGCAGTGAAATAAAAGAGTGCTGAGATCTAAAAGTATTGAAAATAATTCTTAAAATGTCTGGGGAAAGTTGGTAGTATTGACATATTTAGAAACCACTTGACATACATTATGGCTCCCAGGGCAATGGAATAATGCTTCCCATGGCTCCAAAGAGGGACACTACTTAGGTTACAACTGAGCCTCACTGGGAAGAGTTTTTCAGATATGGGGTCCCCTCACTGAAAAAGGCCTGTCTCTTCCTTGACTGGACTCCTTGATTTGCTGAAGGAACTTGGAGGAGGGCCTGAGAAAAAGACCTTAGGTCAGGCTAGGTAGATGTGCAAGGAGGCACCCCAACTTCTTTAAAATTTTAAAGGTGAAAGCAAGAACACTGGCAAGCCGATCAGATAGCTGAAATTAGATCAGATAGCCAAATCTGATCAATCAGCCAGTTAGCATTCTAGCCACTCTAATTTCAACTGCATGAAAATGGGCATGCACTTCCCTCTCTTCTCTTCTCTTCTCTTCTCTTCTCTTCTCTTCTCTTCTCTTCTTTCTTTCTTTCTTTCTCTTTGTGTGAGCAGCAAAAGGCATCCAAAAATGGACTGCACCTGGTGCGTTAGACTGCAATTTCTATTGGTGTTCACCCTTCCTTCCATCCTTCCTTCTTTCTTCCACATAGTAATTCTTCATATATTTAAGCAGCTAGTGGGAAATGATGGATTCTGAGTAAGTCACAAATGAATCCCTAACATTTTTTTTTTTTAAATTCTGGATTTCACTTTCTTTACCTTTAAAGACACTGTTGGTTGAGCCCCATTTTAACATATGTTTTCCTGTCCTTTCAAAAGAAGCATACATTCATACTTCAAACCAGAAGCTTATCTAATTCAAAAGAAGACATTTGCAGGAATCAACTTATGACAGATTATGAGTTAACTGGGATGGAGGCTCCTAAACTCACAAGAAACTCACAGGAATTCCCTGGAGTCCCCAGTTTCCACAGCCCACAAATTCCTTGAAAATTGGAATGGGCAAACCTCCTGTTCCTCTCAGTCTCTTCTTCCCTCAAACTTAAATTTGTCCTGGTTGTTCCTCAGTTTACAAGGTTTTTTAAGTGTGCATAAATATTTGTATGCATTTTCACTAATAAATGTTAGCAATTTCTCCTAATCTGCTAGCAATTTCTCCTAATAAGATGGTTTTATACTAATTTCATGAATACACACATTCCTCTGTGTACCTTCCCATAATGTATTTAAATTTGCTCCCCAATCTCTGCCTGAGGTTTCAAGAGACCCCCCTCCACAGAATGTAATCTTTGTATATCTGTAGTGCTAGATGATGGTTTCCTTTGCATTGTCTTTGCCATCCTGGGAATCTTTTTGCTGATTGAGTTTGACCTGTGCAGATGGTGAAAAATTGAGACTTTCTTTTCTTTTCTTTTTCCCCACCTCCATTTTAGCCACAGTTAGAGATCTCTTTACGTTTTCCCCATGTGCTGAATAAAACAGCATGATACTTGTGTTTTCTGTGGCAGTCAGGTGATATGAGGCTGCCTGACTGGCCAGAGCCAGTCAATTTGCCAACAGGGCAACCTCTAACCGTCCTCTGATGACATAAGAACACAAGACATCGGGCCTCAGCCTAAAGCCTTAAGGAATAAATCCCAGGGATGCTGGACACAGAGCGTTCCAGGGAGCTGCAGTAATGACGGGTCTGGTGCTTGCCTTCCTCTGCCTGCTCAGTGGAGCAAATGAGGCCAGAAAGTACTCAAAATGTGAAATGTATGAAGAACTGATAAGACGAGGACTAGAAAATTACCATGGCATTGGCATAGGGCACTGTAAGTTCTGTCTGTTGGGTGGAAATCATTCTTTCACTTTATAGATTGAGATCTGTTGTGTTTTCTTCTGCTTTTTTCTAGTGGTGCTTATTGTCATATTTAATTGCTTTTACTAGTTCTGAATGTTCTGTTCAGAACATTCTTGCAGACATTGTTGATGAACGTTTTCAGATGTGGCACATTTTGAAAATGGGTCCTAGTAAACCAGGTAACTCAAAACTGCACTGAGAAATGGGACATGCTTTAGAAGTGGCTTTGAATGTTTAGATGTTGCCACAGCCCTTGGTAGGCAGCACCCTTCCATCTTCTACAACACTGAAATAGGACCAGTCTTCTTTCATGCCATTTCAACCAATCTCAGCATTTCAGGGAAATCTGAGGTGGCTTTTACACTAGGCAAATCTAACGAAACAAGACAGAGGCAAATTGATGGAGTGGAAGAAATAAATGAAGTAAATAGGAAAAAAAGGGTGAGAAACATCCTGTACTGTGATACTTAAGCCCTCCACCCACGCCCCTGAATAACATCTCGGGATCAAACTGCAACCTCTGAATCAATACATCCTGATGCACCATTTGTGAATGGAATGGTGACCAGCCATTTCATCAACTAGAAGCAGTGTGTGATAGTGGAAGGCTCACCACAGCTGGAGCCCTGAAACATTCACGTGGCGCCCCAGATCTTTCCCACACATGCTTTGCCTCTCTCTGCCTCTGCCTCTTAAATCTTTCTGAATTTTTTCTCTGAAATCACATTTTCTCTTCCCCCAAGTCCATATATCCTTTATAACCAATACAGGTTTCCTTTAAAGACATGCACACACACACACACACAGATACGGACTTTAGATCATGTATGCTTTAAAAGAGGCATATGCAAAACTGTGCTTTGCTTCGGTCCTGCTGGTTTGAACTCAACATCTTTTCTAGACCTAGCACACCACCACAGACAAGCCTCCATTGCAACATGGCAGACTAACTTTTTGAAACTGTGAATGCCAGAGCTAGCTATCATTAATACCAACTTTTGAAAACATTCAAATTTAGGTTGGGCCAGAAATTGGAAAAACTAAAAATGCTGTTTCAATGTCTTGGCATGGATTTGTTAGGAAGCGAAAGAGTCTGTGCATTTCTTACTGTCAACTGTTCTTTCCTGCCAGGGATATGCTTGATCATGTTTAGCAGTCGCTATAACACAGAGCACTATGAGTTTCAGGCTGGCCATCCATCCTATGGATTATTTTATTTGAGTGGCCTGAAGTGGTGCCACAACGGGCGACATCTCACGGAGAACTTGTGCAATACTGACTGTGAGAGTGAGTGGCTTCTTTATTCTTATGCTTCATGTGCTTTAAGAAGAAGTGACTTCTTTGCCAATGTGCCTGGAAGTAGACTTGCCTGGCAGCCAAACCCCCATCATCCTGCAAGCCCTGGTTTAATGGGGTTTTCTCAGTGGTGAGTGTTAAGCACTCCATCCTCGCTTGCTGAGAGGGATCCCATTCTTTGCTACCCTTGCCCATGTCCCAGAGGTTCCAAAGAGATTCCAGGGCTGATCTCTCAGAATTACTGTGCTCCAGATTACTCATCCCTTTTCCCCTACGGATCACCATTTCATTAAAAATTTCATGCAACATGCATGCTCACACACACATGCACACATATGCATGCACAGAGGACCACTGGCTGGGCAAAAAGAAAATGTCTTGTAATTTGCAAATCAAAATTGTTGAAATTGGAGGTTCTATATCCTAACATTCCCCATTTTTCAATTTATTAACCCATTAACTCTGAATATGATCCTGCAAAGGAAATTTAGCTGTTCCCAACCAAACCCCCAAACTGTGAAGCTGATCTTTCAAGGATAGTGCAGTTCCATTCAACTGAACCCCAAACTTGCCCATCAAGCCAAATGCTCCCTAGCCAATGCAATTCCACAATCAGGAACACAGCTATCTTGCTTATCTGCAGTTTTCCCAGTTCCAGACACTGATCTACAACAAGTGGCCAAGCAGTCTCCCCTCATTACCTTTTGGAAACATTCCACCAGAAGAAACTAGAACCAAGCTAAAGCAGCACTTCCAGGGTCAATCCTGGCAAAGCAACCCAGCAGGATACCCTTGCTTCTCGCATTGGTGGCTGCTGAGATTATCCATCAAAGAGACCTATTCTCTTTCTATCCCATAAGCTGCTTTGAAGCTGAAATGAAAGCTACCTCCTTGAATGTCTTCCATGAACACAGGTTTGATGGTGTTTCCCTCACCATTGACAACACCACCTTGGCTTATCAGGATAGGATATTACTGGGCAGGGGATATTACTGTTTCTGTGTTCTGGCACAGTCAGAACTTTGCTCTGCCCTTCATGAACACCTTCATTCCCTTCCCTCACAGAATTCCTAGATGATGATATCTCCGATGACATTGAATGTGCTAAGAAAGTTGCAGACAGCAAGAGAGGGATGTTGTCTTGGTAAGTTTTCTTCTAAGAACAAATAGGCAATGACATTGTTGAAAATTTACTGAAGAGAAGACTGCCAAGCGCTCCTTAACTACAAGCAGCCTGTAAACCTGGGTGTAAAGAAGTAGAAAAGGGAGGGAGTCAAAGTAAGGAGTTACAGGACAATAAAGGGAAAAATAAGATAGGCAGCTGTTGATTTCTCTATTTCACCCTCATGTCTGGAAGCATGCAGAGTTGTTCCCCATATTCAACATTGGAACTCAATTCGGCAAGCTCCAGAGTTCACAGATCCTTGTTTTACTCACAGATCCTGGTACATTTCCTTGGTTAATGGGTTGGTAAGGATATTCACGGTCATTTTTTTCCAAAGGATAGTAGCATAACTCAACAAGCCCCTGTTGCTTTATAACTTTTATTATTTAAATAAAACATTGATGTGTTTTATTTAACATTGATGTGTTTGGTACATATGCTGTTTTCCACTGCTGGAGAGAACCTTATGCTCGTAGATCTGTGCAGGAATGGGGTAATCAGCTGGTGACCTAATCCATAAGATGTTTCCGCAGCTGTTTATATTCTGCTTTAGGGGTTGGATGGGTTGTTGTGGCCTGCCACTGGCTTTTCCTACTCCAGTCCCACAGAAAACTATATGCCCACAAGTGGATTTTTAGTCTGAAATGGCTTCAGCCCAGTCTATAGCTGCATATTCCATTAATGTAGATAAGAACAACTGGCAGATAAAGCAAGCTATCCCTTTCAGATCTCTGCTAGCCTTTCAGATCTCTGCAGTCCAATCTCACTGGCTCAGCACATGAGTGAGTTTTTCCTCAAGGTGTACCTTTTGCAATGGGTATACCATGCCTAGTAGTTGTGACAAAGTACAGAAGCTTACCTGTAGCCTTTCTAGAGACGTAGTTTTCTGGTAGTGGCTCATTGAGATTGGTTTCCTTATGGAAACCTGTTTCCATAATCTCTTGGTCTTTGGCTCTAGCATCTGTAGGATCCTCTGCTTCAGAACAAGAAGATGTACTGCTATCTTCTTCCCTACTGTTCCACATGCCCAATAATACCTGGCATCCCCAAAATTTTTGGTTTCTTCCTCTTTGATAGACCGAGTATCATTTATGTACTTCTCTGTGGGTTGCCATGGTCATTGAAGGAAGTCAGTACAAGTGTGCTTCTACCCTCCAGGTGAGGGATGCATTGGCATGGGCTTGCTTCACCTAGCATAAAGCCTTGAATGATCAAGATCTTGCCCCATTATTCCATTGTGTGCACTCAGTGCTTGTTCTAAGCCATTTTTAATGATGTCTTTATATCAAAGGTGTTGATATAGATCTTTTTCTTGAGCTGCTAAATTTAAGAGGACTTATTGTATCATTTTTCAGTAATGACACAAAAGACTACCTGTATTGCTTTTTCTGGCACTTCCCCATGTTCTCTGGGATTGAGGAAGAGGCAGGGCACTAATTATTGTGCACAGCTAATACCTGGATCTCTTAGAAAACAATGGCATATACTCTGGTTCCCTGCCACAGATTCTGGGTGTAATAAGTTTACACCAAACTTTTTGTTAGATGTAACACAGAAGGAGAATGCTGCATTCGGGAATGCATTCCTTTGCCAGTGGGATAAAGCTTCAGATTTGCAGGATAATCTCTTAAAAGCAGTGCAAGATTCACAAGGTGTAAATAACCTATTCTCCCCCTCCCACCCCTTAGGACGCGCTATAGTGAATATTGCAGACACCCTATGCCTGAAATAGTGTTTTGGGAATGTGTTAAGGACTGAAGAACAAGAGCCAATGTAGACTTTCTTCCGCTCTCTGTGCTTTGGCTACTCTGCTAAAGCAGAACAGAACACCTTGCAGCAGTCCTCTTGTCCATCTGATCCTGCTCCAGCTGCCTTATGAAGAGAATGAAGCTCTTAACAAAGAATCATGTCTTTGAAAGAGATTGGCAAAAAGATCATAAATTCTTTTATTATATTATAATAAATAATAAATATACATGAAAGTGTATAATAATTTTTTTGTACTGAATGCATGCAAAGTAGGATGGAGGATATACTTAGGGCATAGCACGAAGTCCCTTGCACCTGAGTTTTTCCCATGCCTGCTACTGGCATCATCTTGAAGCTTCCTGAAATAGGGCCACTGCACATCCTTTGGCATACCACGGGATTTTGCAGACACCTAACTACGAGGTCAGGGAATCTCTCCAACCTCTCTGGATCTCTGAGCTCAAAATATCCGCTCTGCTGGCAGCTGGTGCAGGAAGAAATGAGCCAGTTGCAATTCCAAGGATGCAGGTAGGATTGGGGGGCGGGGTTCCAAGGAGAAATGGCAGGGTAAGCAGAGGGACAAGCACTGCCATAATGTAAAGTATCCTGATGGAGTCTTGGCCCTCTTCCATTCTACTCTGAGGCACAGCACTTAGTTGGCCAAAATCAGCCATCTAACTCTTTTGCAGAGCATTTTCCTGTGCTCCTGTGTAGGACTCTCAAAATTCTCCAGATATGGTGGCATCTGGACTGAGCTGAACCATCCACTGGTCTCTTTGGCATTAATTAAACACTGAAAATGCATTCTGTCTTGCCAGCATCAGGTGACCTGACTTTCACATAAGTAGAGATCAGCTGCCCCTTGCACAAAGGAGGTTTCAGTCTCTGGGATCTAGATAAGAGGTCAGTATGGTTCTACTGAGTGGACACTCCAGGCCAGCTGCAACCACTGGTGGTCAGAGTTGCCATTCATTCCCTAAGAAAATGATCCACTGTATAAAGAAGAACCACTTCATCATCAGGAAAGAATGAGCCATATTGCAAGCCTTGATTCCTGTCCTGCCCAGCACCCTCAGGGTAGTTCCCTTCCAAAGTCAAATTTTGGTCTCTCATATTGCAATGTCAATGCCTGGTGACCTGGCCTTTCTCTTAAGCAGACATCTGCTGCTCTTTGCCCAAATGTTTCTGGGTAAGATGGAGTTGGTATGGTTTAGCTGAGTGGGCCACTCCAGGCCAGCCACAACTGATGGTGGTCAGTGTTGCCATCCATTCCCTAAGAAGGTATTTGTTGTGTGAAGAGGGAATGAATGACCTGTATTCCTAGCTTTGGATCCCTTCCAAAGTTCCCAGTTTCTAGAACATTTCCCTTCTTAATACATCTGAACCTTTTCACATGATCCTGAGCCCAAACCAGTTATGCAAATGGCAAATGGACAATTGAGTGACAAGTGGGCTTTTAGATGAAACCCAAGCTTATTAACCAAGGCTGTGGAGATCTTCATGGTATGCCCTGGCCCAAGTGGCATGGCCAAGCAATAAGACCCTGTTCTTGAATTTGATTGATGACCTTCTCTGGTACCTGATTTTATTTCACTTGCTTGAGTATTCAATAAAATATGCTCTTCCTTTCATTCCTTGGAAGCAGATGCAGAACAGGTTGACACTCAGGGCAATGTTGCTATTTCCTTCCCATTCTATGACCATCATACCTCCTCTTAGTCCAGAAACTTGGTATAAAACCAGTTTGGACACCACCATTCCCTGCTTGGTACTGCTTTTCCATCAACTTCATTGCACCCATCCGCCACTGCCCCAGTCATATATTCAAGTTTCTTGCTTCTGATGTCTTCCCATCCCTTTTGTTGAGCACAAAAGCCAGCCCTCTTCCTGCCCCCATTCTTGAGAAAACATTGTTTTGTCCCAAACACCCACATGGTGGAGCTCCAGCTCAATTTACCGCCCAACTGCACTGGCAACATTCCCTGCATTCTCCTTGGAAATGCACTGCAATCCATTTTCTAACATGCTCCCAACCCCATACTCAGGATACCAAAGCACATCTTCATTTCAGAGGTATCACAAAGAGTCTTGGCAAGTAAAAATATTCCTCATGTATATGCCTGAGTATATTACACTGACGTTCCCAATCAATCACTTCTGCTGCTGTGCCAGCTGGCCTGCCCCCAGTGGTGCCCACACAGTGATCATTTTACCTACCCACTGGTGCTAGCACTCCTTCCCAGGGAACAATGACTCCAGCCTGCTAAAGCATTTTGGGTAAGAGAAAGGCTGTTCTGGGGATGCCCATAATTCCCCAAGGCCAGATTTATTCCACAAAGATATCTGGATGCCATGGAGTCCTGATTGGCCACTCTGTTGTTACCTTCTCTTGGTAACTGTGGGATGGATGCTTTGGGCTGACAATGTTTTTGGGGTAGTTGTGTCACATCCACAAATAGCTTGATGGATCCCACATATCCCAACTTTTTCTGCAGTTTCCTAGGTAGGCCACAAGGTGGGAGGGGGTTGGCAGGGTGTGCAGGACCATTTGCAGCCCCTGGGCCAGGCTGTCCCAGGTTTCCCCTGAGCAGAACTTCTCCCCGTCCTGCAAATGTGCTGAAGGATACAACACGCCACCTCCACCGCTGGGCACTGCCTTCCTCTACATTGTATGGGGTGTGCACAGATTGCCAGTGTGCTTTTACATGGCTCAAGTGTGGTCTGCAGGAAGTACTGCATGGCCAGGATAGAAGTGGAAATTCTCCTGCTCGGGTGTTCCCAGGGTAGGATGCAGCATCGTGGGGCATAGTTGCAATATGAAAGCCTTTTCGTCCTCATCAGAGTTTGTGTGGCCTTGCATCAAAAACGGAGGAACATCAAACTCCTTCATTCAGTTTCTCGGTCAATGGAGAATGCCAGAAGATGGCTACATTGTGCACAGAGCACCAGGCTGCAAAGCATTTCCTGCTGGAGTACACCTCAGGGCTTCTTTGCATGCAGCAAAGTAATTCCTACCTCGGTTCTTCATGTGAAGCCACCAAGTGCATGTAGAAACATTGACCTGTCTACTTGGGGCCCTGTTCTGGGACTTTGTAGCATCAGTTCATTCTCGGGGATTAGAAGATGTGGACCCATAGCTATAGATTTGTTGGGCAGTATGGGATGCAGGCAATCCTTTTGTATCTCTACAGAAATCTTGGCTTGCTTCATTTTTAAAAATCAGAAGTAAAAGTTGGAATGTTCCCTCCTGTCTATGCTTGCTTAGCGCTGAACAGGGCATTGAAGAATGACTTGTCCCCATAAAAAGTCAATTTAATCGTAGATGGGGCTTCTATTGCTCTAGGTGGATTATAAAAGTTTTGCTTCCTCGCACAGCTCCTCAAATCCTTGTCCAGGGAGCTGCAGCCATGAACAGCCTTGCTGTTGCCCTCATTAGTATCGTCACCATGGCAAGCGAGGCCAAGATATTTTCAAGGTGTGGACTGGACTCTGAAAATGCAGAAGCTAGATGGATACAAGGGCTACACCCTGAATGACTGTGAGTTCTGCTTGTTGGTGCAAAACCTCCTTTAATTTCTTTCCCAGAAATTATTTCTGCCACTTGCTCTACTGTTTTGGTTGCTTCTCTTAACATTCAGCTTCTTTCTTTATAATTCAAGTGCGGTCATTCCTATTTCTTTCTTGTTGGCTTTTCCTTCCTTTTCTTTTGGGGCCAGGCACACATATGAAAGGGCGAGGGTGTACCATGTGCGGTCTCCCCAGATTGCTGTCATCTTAGGCATGGCCAGTCATACAATACCAACTCTCTCTTTAAAGATATATCTTTCTGTACTGAAGCCCATTTTATGAAAGACAAACATGTATATTATCCCCATATCTTTCCCTAGGCAGAATATATCATAAAGAAAGCTGAAGTGGAATTAAATGAAGGAATGAAAATTGGTGGAAGATACATCACTAATTTAAGATATGCAGATGATACCACACATGGAGAGTCAAGATTGCTTTGTGCCCCCTGCACAACTGCCGCCTTGAAATACCTTGAGGGGAGGGAGGCAGCTCCAGGCAGGAGTCTCCAGATGGAGACAGGACTTTCTCCCACCGGGATCCCCTCTCATTGGCAGCTCAGAGGATGGGTTGGGTCAAGCAGCCCTTCATGGGTCCTGTGTCTTTGTGTTGCTATTTGTATAGAAAGGATTTGTCATGTGTATTGTGAGATGGCCCTTTTCAGGCAACTAGATGAAGCACTGCTAAAGAAGAGGGGAAAAGCCTGCTCTCCTCCTTGCCTGCTCCTGGCAGTCTCAGCACTGGGGTGGCAGGAGCTTGGGGAGGGCCTCTGAATACCCCTAGAGGCCCCCAGACAATGCAGGGAGGCCACAGGCTCACACTCTCAGCACTTCAGCTGCCAGTCACAAAGCCCCAAGGCCTCTTCTGCTTCCCAAGCTCTCTGCCCTAGTGTTCCCCATAGAAAAGCCTTGTGGGGAAAGAGCTTTGAAGGTTTGAAAATACTCTCTGTCCTTCCAAATCCCCCTTCTGTGCAGATGTTTCTTTGACATTTCACACACCCAGAGAAAGAGAGAGAGAGAGGGAATTGATTTCTACCAGTTTTGAATCATCATATTTGGTGTCTTTTTTTTTTTTTTTTGACCTGTCAGGTGTTTGTGTCCTTTTGTGAGATCTTTTTCAGCACTGAAATGTCACTGACATCCAGGATGGATGAGCTGGACTCCTATGGGATATTCCCCATTAATAGCACATACTGGTGCAGTGATGGGAAGGAATCCAACAAGAACTATTGCGAAATTGACTGTGCAAGTGAGTGATGTGTTTCTGCCTCGTCTTGTGTGACTTGGGAATGAAGCCAACTACCTTAAGTGAGGAATGCTTATTGGACTGAGGACAGTCAGTGTGCTGCAGTGCAGTCCTGAGAGTCCAGATTCTAGTCCTCACCTGGCCATGGAGCTCACTGGGTGACTTTGGGCGACCACAGACACTTGGCCTAAGGTACC